CGCGTTGTTCCCACAATAGCCAAAGATTGCAATCCAAGAATATAAAGATTGTCTGGAAGAACACCTTTTCATTTGAATAATATTATCATTATATCTTTTTTTTTTAAAGCCGATGAAGCGGGTCAAAAAGCTGATCCTGTGAACATTATATGTATTCCAGTTTTTAGCAGAAGCTATATGAAGTCTGCAAACACACACACTGGCCCAGGCCCTGTGATCTGATTTTGAATGTTTGATGTCTTTTAGATGATGGACATGAAATAATGTTCAAATCACCAGAGGCTGGAACATCAAAGAGATTCAAATGAAAACACGGTAATGTCTTTTCGGACTGAGCGTTATAGCTCCTTCATTTGCCACTGCCCCGTGGAAGCTGGGCTTTGACTGCGCACAGATAAAAGATGAGTTGATAAATGAGGCACTTTCATCTCCAGCAAACTTTGACAAGTTTTTCATTTACAGTGCAATGGCATGGCTAATATGCAGCATCATAATATAATCAGATAATCACAGATGGTAATGTCTGAAAGTCAAAAGGTGCAGGGAGCATCTGAAGAGGATGAATGGCTGGCTAGCATCACAGCAAGATAACGAGAGCCCAGAGTCATTGTACCAAAGACCCTTCCAGTGTTATTGGGGAAAAGATGTGATCATTTATATATTGTTCAATTTCAGAATCCAATGTACTTTAAAATGATAGGGTGAGAGAGCTAATACAGAGCACAGGTGACTTAGTGATAATGAACCAATATATATGCATCATGCAAAACCGATCCTTATGCATGACAAAGCTCAGCACATTCATTCATCACAACTTTGTCTGTTATGAAAACACAGGTGAGAAAACTTTCCCTCCTCGGAGAGATAGTCTCATGTGAAGCGGACAGTGAGCCGCTATGTCGATTCTACAGTGTTTATAATAAAGAAGCTTTCACAGACAATGCCTGGCCCAGTCTCCGTGAAGCGTGAGGGGGTCATCGACTTTGCATTATTTCTGATTTATATCTGAGCAGAAGCCAAGTTTCCGAATAATTCACAGAGCAGTTGGGTGTCTCTCTGGACTTTTTGGACGTCTCTGTGTAAACCGAGAGGCTGATGTTCAAACAGAGAGGCAGAGAGCCATAGTGGACTCAGAGCTTTGCCTTGGCCTCAGCGTCAAGTCTCTTGACAGCAAACTGGCACCAAGCTCAAACTAATAAAGTGCACCACCCATATCCTACAGCGGCTGCATGTACTGTTTGTCTACTGAGTGTGTGTGTGGTCAGTTGGAGCGGGACACTTGGAAAGAAGCAAGTCACGGATGAAAGAGGTATCGAGCGCTAAATCTGTTAAATCTATGATGTGAGTCCCATTCACTCCGTCTCCTCTTCAGATGATGTGCTAACTGTTCAGCGCATGGAATGATTTAGACGGATATCACAAATGATTATCGGAGATCTTGTTAAACTTACATAATTACTGTCATTGTGTATTCTTAAAGTGGCAGTTATACGATGAGTCTATTCTGTATTTTAGAAAAACATAATATAATTCAGAATTGACTTGAAGTAATTGAGAACATATTCATTATCACAGGTTTCATTTTTCTAAATAATTTGACTGTTAAATCTTAAATACATATACACTCAAACATACAAGTTAAATGTCTGGTAAACCTTGATTAAAACTTGATATTTGACTTTATTATTTGGTTATAATCTCAATGAGAAATTACATAAAGAAACACAATTGTAATGTCTACTGTCATACTGACAAATTTAGTACATTTTGTAAAATGTAACCTTAGTTTTGCCATTAAAAGCAAAATAATAAAACATTTACATGGATATGAAAAAAATTATAAACTGGGCCCTTTAAAGATTAAATCAAAGAAAAGTGCCTCAGAAAGAAGCTTGTTCTCTGATCACCTAAATAACAGTAGGCTATGTGTGATATCTTGAAGATCCAAATAACTTCCAAGTAGGTGTATGATGATTAATATGAGAAAAGTTGTCAAGTTTGGATTAAATGGAGGTCTGAGCTGTTAATCTGATAGGTCCGAGTTCACTCAGTAATGTGTAAATTATGTTTTAGAGGCAGATTACACCACAAAGCAAAGAGCTCACCTGCCTGTTTCCTTAGAGTTGTGGATCAGGGTTTGGGGCTGGTTCCTTGAGATCAACCTGGGAGCTTTGTTATGAATCCATGGCTGGGAGGCTCACCATCTGCTGGAATCGGTGGAGCGCTTAATAAAATACCTTTTAGAATGAAACTAAATAAGATATGCGTATGTGGCTTCTGCTGGGAAACTTTCTCCCTATTATCTGAGAAATTATAATCATTAATAACTTTTTAAAACGTTGATACTGTTTCTCAAATTCAGTTTATCTCAACCATGATCTCAACGCGTATGCAACTGCTACAACATGGCAGTTCTGAAAAACCGCGATATAACGTACGCTACTTGCACTGCAGAACTTCCGGTTGGTTTTAGCAAAAAAGGGCATGTCGGAAACAAAACATTTGACAACGTTAGCACAACTGTAGCTTCTAATAACATAAATAAAACCATCAATTTAAAACTTAAATCCATAGTTTAATAATGTATAACTTTATTAATTTCTATTTCAACTCGTTTTTCTCAGCAGTATTTTTTTTTTTGTCAGTTTGATTTTTTCGTTTAAACCAAACGCCAAAAAATGAAAATACCAGCCTTTTTTCGTTTTAAATCAAAAACAAAAAAACGGGAAACCAAAGCCGTTTTCCTGTTTATGTTGTCTGAGTCAAAAAACGGATAACAAGAAGACCTAATAAAAAAAAAACGGTCTGATTTTGGTTTTTGATAACAACTTCATTCAATTTTCCGTTTTGTATTGAAGAATGAAGAAAAGCAGTCCGGTGGACCGGAAGTTAAAGAACATATTTCAAAATAAAAGACACAAGGATATGCTGTAAAAGTTAAATCCTGGAACCCAGAAGTCTGACGAGGATAAGTTTATCTCTGCATTCACATGCAGATATGCGTTTATAGAGATCAATACAAGTATGCAAGCACTGTGCATAACTTTATTTCGCTGACTTCCGGTTTGTACTGTAGTCAGTAAATCCAGTGTCCAGATTGTCGCTGTGTGACAACCATAGACTGGTGACAGCGTAGTATTTGTTACATGCAAGATAAGATAAGAACTGTCGCCCTACTTTCACCTGCACCCAGCAGCAAGCGGGAGAACGATATATCATACAGTCGACCCCTAAAACAGTTCACACAGTAAATGGAACAGTTGTTAATTTGTCCAACTAGTCTACATTAAGAATTTGATGTTTTTCTAAACTGCTAAGAAGCTGATAGCTGAGTTAGAACAGAAAGACATGCAGGCCATAATCACT